AGCTTATCTCTATGACAACACTATAGCATACGTTTGATTAGAAAGAAATGACTATGTGAACTTAGAATCAGTGACTGCATGAATATTGATGTCTGTAATCCTAAATTTTACAAAGTAAAATACCCATCAATTTGAATTCAGTTCCTAGTTAATTCATGAGTACATCCTTACTGTTTTCTTGGGAAATAGTTATTTTTCCATTGCCTTTTTCTGGGATATTTTTACCCCTTGGATTTCCTTATAGCTTGTCATATGAGTATGAACTAGGCTTGGCTTAACTTCAGATTCCAAACAATGCCACCCAGATGCTGCTATCTTAATTAATGATTTGTCCACCATTCACAAGACCAGTTATCTGGCTTGAATTTAGTATAGTAACATTTTTTTATTTCTTCCCATTAAATACTAAAGTTGATGAATCCAGACATTTCCTGTTTACCCTAGGGAAGATGTGCATATTTCTACTTATTCGGCTTAAGTACATAATGCAGGTAAGTAATTCACAGGAATTGGGTCATTTCAACTTCATTAATCTATTCATGCATGAATTCACTTTATGTTTTATCACATAAAATGCAATAATCATTTTAAAGCTGAAAAATGTGACCAAAACAACCGACAAAAATACATCAAATAGAATGTATTGCCATCAGATGTGGTGATGGTCAATAACTTAGACAGTTTTAAGAAGAACTGGAGAAATTCATGGGAAAACAAGTTACCAGAGTGATAACTATTTTCAAATAGAAATCTAAAGGAAAAAAAGTTGAAGTGGAACTATTATTTTGACCCATCATTTAGATTTTCATCATTTTATTTTACTGGGTGGGCAGCATTCAAATATGTTATCCATTACTCACCTAGAGCCAGAAAGGGCATAATTTTGGGAAATTCTAAACATTTTATGTACATTGCCATAAATTGCTACAATTCATTTTAATATGTCTATTCTTTGTTTCCTCAGCAGAGCTTAGGAATAGGTATGTGATTCCTTTGTTCTCATTATATAATCTTTTTAGAAATGTTAATTTCAATTAAACTGAAAGGCAGGAATTTTTGGTTGTCAAACCTATGCCTATATTATCATAACCCAGTTGTCCAATCACTATACCATACTGTCTCTCATAGCTTTGGGACAATCTGTTTTCACACTATTGGATGGAAAACAATCAAAACGTTCGTCCCTGATATATGACCCAACTGTTTTGTTGTCATCTTAATCTTATTCTAATTTTTGCTGCCCTAGTTCTCTGAATTTGTGTTTTGGCCTGTGTGCAATTTTAAAGGTCACCTACTTCAGCATATTTGCTGGAACCACTATTCAGGCTAAAGAATTTTCATTATTTTTCTTACAGAACATTTGATAAAAATAGAATAAGAATAAGAATAGAATTCTTAGTAGTGAATAAGAATGAATAATGAATAAAACTAGAATAATAGAATTAGAAATATTCTTTATTTATTTTCTCTTATCAGCAAACACATATTTATTCATCTGTAGTCCTTGAGTACATTTACTCTTTTCCTGAATCAGTTCCAGATTTACCCAACACCGTGACACTGAATTGTTTTTGGGGCTGAATTGCCATTTTTGCAATTTATTTCAAATCAAAGTAATAATGGAGCTGATTATGCCATTGTGAGACTTTGATTTTCCTTCACTGTGTCTCCTAGCTCCTGGGCAGAAGCAAATCCTCATTCAGCATCTGCTGTGACCTACAGTAACTGTACTAGAGAAAGATATAGTTAACATGATCAGGAAACTGAATTCTATCCATTTAGTCCGTTTCGAACCAGTTTTTCCATCAGTTGCATTAAAACCTTCCTTGGCTTATATAAGCAGTGGGCACACAGCCCTTTCCCAACCCTACCACCCACTCTGTCAGGGTTCCAACCAGTGCCCTAACGCAATCTGGCAATAAAAAATTGAGTCTTTTATTAGGAGCACCATGTCAGCGTTAACTAGGTAAAGCTAACTCTTCACCCCCTTCATGCCTTGCCTGTAACCCTGTTTCCCACTCCTCCCCAAAGTGTTACCTGGTCACATTCCCCAACAAGGTAATTTCGTGGACTGCATAAGTCACTCCCTTCCAGGTATTGCTGGTATCCACGGAGATGGCCTTGACTTGCTCAGCCAGAATTTATCTTATTATGAATGAGAAGTAAATTCTTTGGTGCAGCTGCAAGACGCGATTTCCCATTCCCCTGCCTATGGCAACTTGGGAGCAGGTGAGGGAAGCTTCACGAGTTGACAGTCTATAGTCTATATACCAAGACTACAGCCATTAGTGCCCATTCTTCCAATGACTGGGACTACAGAAACAAATGCCAGTATCATATTAATCATATTTACCATTATAAAAAGTTTGGCATAGAAGTATGATAGACACAGTTTCCTTTTAAAAAATGAAATTGGTTGTGATGCTTGACTAAAAGAAAATATTTTTAAGCGGGAGTAGGAGATTATGGTTCAATCAGAATAGAAGTGGAAGGGACTGATGTCTTCTAGTCCAACCCGCTACTCAGACCATTTCAGACAAGTGACTGTCCAGTCTCCTCTTTAAAACCTCCAGTGATGAAGCACCTACAACTTCTGAAGGCAAGCTTTTACACTGGTTAATTGTTCTCACTGTTAGGAAGTTTCTCCTTACTTCCATGCTGCTTTTCTCCTTGATTAGTTTCCATCGACTGTTTCTTGTCCTGCCTTATGATCCTTTGGAAAATAAGTTGATCTCCTCATTTTTATGGAAATTTCTCAAATACTGGAATACTGGTATCATGTCACCCCTAGTCCTTCTTTTCTTTAGACTGGACATAACCAATTCCTGCAACCCGTTCTTCATATGTTTTTGTCTCGAGGCCCTTAAAATCATCTTAGTTGCTCTTCTTTGCACTTTTTCCAAAGTCTCAACATCTTTTTTGTAATGTGGTTACCAAAACTGTATGCAGAATTCCAGGTGTGGCCTTACTAAGGCTTTATAAAGCGGTACTAATACTTTACATGATTTTTATTCTATGCCTCTGTTTATACAACCAAAGATTGTAGTAGCTTTTTTGGCTGCTGCTGCAAAACTGCTGGTTCATATTTAAGTCATTGTGCACTAGGACTCCAAGGTCCCTCTCACAGTTACTGTTTTTGAGTCAGGTTTTGCCCAATCTGTAGAAATCCTTTGTGTGACTTTTATCATTCAAAGAAAAATCACAATAAATCAAAGCACAATGCATTTAGGGGTTTCCCTAAAAGTCTACAATCTTATTTAAGGAAGCTTTTGTTTTGAAGGCAGAAAAAGATAAGACCATAGGGTTGTGGAGTGGTGTTTTTTTTTAATGGCCTTCTTTTGCAGAAGCATGGGGTTTGAAGGGACTTCTAGTCCAATCCCCTGCCTAGGATATGAGTCTTCAGACCATTCCAGACAAATAATTTTTCTATGTGTAAAACTTCTACCCAATATGGGTTCTTGTCCTACCTTTAGGAAGTGTGAAGAATATTCTACACCTCTGTGACTTCTCTTCAAATATTGGAAGACTGCTTTCATCCTCTTCACCTTCTCATCTTTAGGATAAATATGTATATGTCTCTTAACTGTTAACTGATCTTCTTAATATTAAGCCTTCAAGTCCCTCTTCATATTTTTGTTCTTCTCTGCACTCACAGTTCCTCATCCTTCTTTATGTATTGTAGCAAGGAAAAGTGGACCTGATCAATGCACCATAAACTGACACTGTCATTTCCTGTGGTCTTGTTACCCTATCTTTGTTCATACAGCTCAAGATTGTACTAGCCTTTTAAGCCACTAGAGCACACAATTAGTTCATGCTTAATATGGTCTACCAGAATTATTTAATAAGAATTTGCAAGTAAAAAGGTAGCAATGATAGTACAATATCTTAAATTCAGAAAATGTAATATATTGGAACACATTTATATCATTATGTTTCTTTGCATTTATTATTATGTCCATTATACATTTATTAATAACTATCTTTAATGAGTATTTTGATAACTTAGAGTACATGATCCCATACAATTTGAAAGGTATTAGAATGAAGTGTCATATTTTGGATTTTTTTAATAAAGAAAAAATGTTTCCTATAATTTTTCAACAAAATCACAACTAATCATATTCAACTCTTAAGCAATTCAATATCTTCATTTTTTTATTTATACATTATAACCATTTCCCCATAGTAGCTCTGGTATACATAGCTCTTCTCTTTTATTTTGACAACATTTTTGTGAGAAACAGTAGGATAAGAGATGGAAACAAGACTGAGGATGCCTGGTGAATAATATGGAAAACTGGATATTTGAACCTTGGGTTGCTTTTTTTTACTCAGGTCTAAATCACTGCCCACTAATTGATTCTTTACTTGTTCTTCAAAGCATAGAGACTATAGGCTAATCAGAAAACTATAGGCTATTAAACTCTTGTCCATTAAAATGTTTATAAAACTGTTGTCAATTAAAAACTAAAAGATTTATCATTTAGTTGAAGAACTAGAACATTGAAGAACTAGAAATCTAGTACAGTACTATACAGTATCAATAATTTTATTTTAGAGTTTCTAGTGGTAGCCACCGGCCAATCATGTATGAACTTGAAAACAGCATTAAGGGCCTGGTTAGCAGTTGTATAGAACTACCCGCCATGTAAACTAAACTAAGATTTAAAAAAAACCAAAGAAAGTAATGACAAACTAGTTGTGCATTGTTTGGAGACATATATGGGAAATTATTCCTGGTGTCCACAAAGTCAGGTTTGATTTTTTTTAAAAAAAATATTAAGTTAATTATAAGAACTTGCTACTAGCACAATCAATTTTAGGAATGCATTTGAAAATAGAGGAAAATGAGAAAATACCATCAGTATCATAAATAGGAATAAATGCAATTGGAGACACAAAGTCTATTGATTTAAAATCTATTGAGTTGGACATTGGGTCCAACTTTAAGTGATAGATATTGTATTTCCATTAATATTAATGTTTCCTTTCTTTTATTAATCAGGGTATAGCAAAAAACCTGAAAATACTGAATCAGAACTTTCATCAGCCACTAGGCTATTTTGAGAGGCATTCAAAATTTGAAGCCAAATTTCATCATCTTCAGAAAGTTGAACCAACATTGACCCAGAGACCTGACTAATGTCACGTGGGGACTGTCTTACACCAGACACTTGTTGAATTTGTTGGCCATTATGAAAAAGTGCAGCCTTCAGTGATTTGCTAGAAATGCTGAGATGATAACTAAAATAATAGATACCTCCAGTGGTGGCTGTAAATCTGCCAGATTCTGCATGAAACCCATCGTTTTCATTCAGAAAAACTTTATCAAATCTCACTAGAGATCCTGGCAGTGGGAAACTTCTCCTTTTCTGAAGACCAGCTGAAAATGCAGTGGGTTCAACTGCTTTGCAGTTCCCTTTTTGCCCTTTTTCTCCTTTTTGGCCTCGAAGACCAGGCATTCCTTGGATTCCAGATGAACCTGTTTTTCCTTGTCTTCCTGGATCGCCTTTGAGACCAAGAGGCCCTTGAGATCCCGGTGACCCTGCTAAGCCTTTTGCTCCTTTTCTACCCATAAGACCTCTTTCTCCTTTCTCTCCAGGATTCCCTTTCAGTCCAAGGTCACCTTTTGAACCCAATTCGCCATTTTCTCCTTTGTCTCCTTTCAGCCCCTGAAAGCCTCTGGGGCCACGATCTCCAACCTTGCCTTTCTCACCTCTTTGACAAGGAGAATTATTAGACCAATCATGTACTTCTGTTTGACCATTAAGTAATTTGGAACTGGAATCCCCCCTTTCTGCCATTAGCTCTTGTCCAACGCCTGTCAAATGTTGTAGTTGTCCTTTTCTTCTATCTAGTGTTGCAATATCTAGAACCAAAGACAAGAACACATTCATCCATTATCAAAGACATTGAAAGAAATAACTTAATCAAGGATGGAAAAAATCAAACAGAGAGTTCATCAGGCTACTTTAACGTATATAGTACTGGCTGGATGGCATATGCCACTTTCATCTTTGGAGAGAAAGGAATAGCATAAATTTCTCAGAAGTAATTATCTAGAAATGTCACTGTTGATAAGACCAATCCTACCATATGCATAACGGCAGCAAAGAGCAAAGCTATTCCATTTCACAGAAATTATGAGACTATATGAGCTATTAACCTTTTGACCATAAGGAAAATGGTGACATTCCTAAAATATTTTGGGGGATTTTTGGGGGAAGAGAAATTCAATGGCAAACAGTATGGAAACACCAAGATCTAATACAATCTAGAAGAAAGCTAATGTTGGTTTACTTATATTCAAAATTCTACTGAATTCTGTATTAGGAAGATCAAACAAGTTATCTGGTCAAATCTTTCCATGCTTATCATTTTTGATTGGTTTGAAGTATGCAAGGGATGCAAAATTGATTCTTCCATGATGGAAACACGAATAAGCTTAGAGGAAAGAGAAGAATATTGAGAATTAACTAGTGGTTAAAGCAACAAGCTAGAAAGTGAGAGAGGATGATTTCTAATCCTTCCTAAGTCATTAAAGAAGGGTTGATGATTTGGGGCCAGTCTCTATCTATCTATCTATCTATCTATCTATCTATCTATCTATCTATCTATCTATCTCCCTCTCTGCTTCCCTCCCTCTCCCTCTCCCTCCCTCCCTCCCTCCCTCCCCCCTCTCCTTCCCCTCCCCTTCCTTCCCCTCACCTCACCACCTCAACTCACAGGATAATTACTGTGGGGAAAATAGAGCAGGAGTTCACTGCCTTGAATTATTTATAAAAATAATAAAGGCAGGATTTTAAAAAGTTAATGTCACAGTTGGGCGGAATTGATGAAATAAGATTTTTAAAAGGAAAAGGTGAGATACCTAAAGTACAAAGGTAATCTCTAAATCATTAAGTGGTAGAAACAAAAATGGACAGAAAAGTAAAGAAGGAAATAATGAAAAGTATGGCTCAAAAGTAGATTGATTATGCTTCCTTTCCTTTTCCTTATCTTCTTTCCTTTCTTTACATTCTTTCTGCACTGTGCATGACACTTCTTACTCCAAAGGGAAACGAAATAATGATTATGGTAATATGGAATATTACTCCACAGTACCCAGCAGATTTTTCTAATGAAGTTCCAGTATTTCTCCATCTTCTGCCAACAGCAACTAGCCATCTGGAATGTAAATTGTCAAAAGAAGATAATGGGAAGTCAGCCATGCATTTGGGTTGCATTGATTATTTGGTTCTATACTCTTCACTTTAGTCTTTTTGAATGTTTTTACCTCTGAACCTATGGAAACATCAAAATACTTCTTTGTTAGAATCCATTCAGTGCAATAAATTGTACCAGCTGTTGGCCATAATCACTGGAAATTTTGAATGTGAAATCCATGACATCTGAAAAGCATCAGTTTAGGGGAAAACATGCAGCCCAGCTAGTTTACTTAGGTTATCTCACCTTATTTCATTATAAAGTTTTAAATACTATACAAAGTTCACTATTTGAATTTCAAGAGCAATGTATGTAAATCGGCAAACAGTAGATGATCCTCTCAAAATCAAATTTAATTTAATCTGGGGATGGTAGAGATGCTTTCATTTTGTTTATCATATTATTTCTGTCAATTTTTTAAACCTTTGCTGGCTTTATCTGCCCAGGATTTCTTGTGTGGCCATACTGAGAATTTGAGGGTATGTTTGACATTGTGAACATAAAGAATTCATAACTGACCAGTTTTGTTAGATCTCATAATTGTCCTCAATATCCAACATTATAACTTCTGAACATTTTAGGGAACAATTTCTTATCTTCTCAATTTATTCCTGCTAAACTTCTAAGGAATCCCATGGCTTCCCAGAATACATTCAAAATGTATTTACTTTTGATTGCCTCAGACTATAGTTACTTCAAGCCAAATCAAGCTGTGTTTGCAGATAGATGCTGGGGTAAACAGAATGTTGGATTTTTTTTTATATTGTTGCAAACAATATATAACCAAAGCACTAACGGATTATGAGAATTATCCCACAGTGCTGTGGGTCAGACATGTGATCCAAGAGCTGCGCACAAGAGGATAAAGGCAACCCACAGATTAGTAGACATTAGCACAGATTCAGAGTTTTGAACCCTGGTGATTTGCCTACCGCAAGGAACACAATTTGTTCATTTACCATTCCTGGATATCTTTTTACTTCATTGCCCAGAGAATTTGGATTTGGAGGATTTTCAGTATGATACTGATCCGGTTCTTTTTAATTAGGGAAATCAATGAATGGTCTTCATTTAAAAAAAAGAAGAAGTTGTTTTCAAAAAACCCCGAAGGCATTAAGTGATAAAATTACCTGCTTTTTAAATTTGTTACCTTGATCTCTCTTTTGTCCTTCTGCTCCTGGAATTTTACAAAAGCAGGGCTTCTCTGGGTCACTGCCATTTCCCTTTGGTGTATCTGAGACAGCAAGAGCTAAGAAGCCATCAAATGTAATGCCTTTGTTAGTTCCAGCAAATGGCATGCGTGTACTACCACTGTTCTCATCTCCAGAATCACCTTTTCCAGGAAAGGCCTGTCCTGTGTTTGCAGCTGTGAACAGCTTGAAAGCCATCTGTTGTTTGGATCCGGCAGTCGTGGCTGCTGGTTCTGGAAGGTTCTTATTTACCACACCACCCGCTCCGTTAAAGGAAGAGGTTGCCAGTGATGTTATGACAATCTGGGAACTTGCTTGACTCCCACCATCTGTGACTGGCTCAATTTCATTTCTCTCTGGGTCCTGACCAGAGGGAACAGTGAAGGCTTGTTTAGGGGCTTCGGTTTCAATCATGCCGTTGAGTGACTCCATTGTGAACAGCTGGTAGGGAGAAAAGCTCAGGATAGCTGTCATACTCACAGGACCCCAAGAAACGATAGACAGCAAAATTTGAATCAGAAGGAAGGACAGCATGCCTGAAATTGCAAAAATAGAAAAGCTGCAGCGAAGGTTGTTTGTGTGTGTGAATTAACTAAGTTGCAAAAGGAACAAAACCAGGGATTTTGAGCAATGCTGATTCATAGAAGTGCATGCAGCACAGTCGCCTCGGGCTAAGAAAACTCATGATAGAAAAATATCAATGTGTCAAGCTTAGAGCTGAAATCGTCACTGTCTTCCACAGCCATGAAGATCACACACAGTCAAGGGAGGGATGCAGCCAGGGGCTCCAGCCAAGCCTTCAGAATTCAATTCTGGCCATGGTTTGCTGCAAAGAAACCATGCTCCCATAGAGAAGCCTAGGCAATTGCCAGAATGGCATGGGAATAGGGCAGAACCACAGGCAGAAGACCTGTGTGCAATATGGACCCTTAGGTATACAAAGAAACTCTCTTTCCAGATATCTATTGATCATCATGTTTTTGCAAGCCAGTAGCTTCCTAGTAGTACTGCTTCGCCATTCCGAGACCATCCTAGGCTGCATTTCTGCTGTCCTTCTGCCCCCAAGAACCACTTGTACATATACAAAACCAGAACAAGTCTGCTCTCTCAAATATCTACAGCCATCAACTCTTGTTGACTAATATTGGGAAGGAGGCAATTGAGAGATTTGCTTTGGGACCAAGAGGCCTCTGGAACCCCTGTTAATTTATACAGCAAAATTATTGTGAAGAGTAACAAGAATCACATCTTTCAAACAAAATACAACTCCATTTAAAGTACATTGTAAGAATTGAGAGTTTATTAGACATGAATTACTAAAACTAATTGATATCAGTATGCGGAGTCATAACTGACACACCAGCAGATGTGGATATGGGGCTTCTCATCACTGAGATCACTTGTACCTCAAGTTATAGACTTTACTAAAGGATAAACCACCAGTGATACATTTACTTCTTTGATGGGAATGCTACCTTATCCCTTATCTATTTTCCCAATTTCCCTGATCAGAGAACCCCCTATCCATAGTACTTCTACCTTATCTGGATTTAGTTTCAATTTACTGATTGCCATCCATTTCATTACAGCCTCCATAAAACTGCCAAGCAGTTGCTCAGCTTCTCCTAACTCAGGTAAAAAGAAGGTATAGTGTTGAGTATCATCCAGAACTCTAAATATCTTAATGATAGAATAACAGAATAACATATTGGAAGGAACCTTGGAAGTCTTCTAGTTCAATCCCCTTTTCCAATCTCTCCTTAAACACTTGCAGTGTTGGAGCACCAACAACTTCTGGAAACGAGTTGATCCACTGATTAATTCTTCTAATTGTTCTAACTCTAAGTTCCATGGAGTTCTCTCCTTGATTAGTTTCCATCCATTGCTTCTTGTTCTGCTTTGGAGGATAGGTTGACACTCCTCTTTCTGGCAGCCCTTTAGATATTGGAACACTACTATCATATCATCCCTAGTCCTTCGTTTGATTAAACTATATACTGTTCTTCATATGTTTTAGCCTCCAGGCCTCCAATCATCTTTATTGCTCTTCTCTGCACTTTTTCTAACATCTCAACATGTTTTCTATAATACGGCAACCAAAACTGGATGCAATATTCCAAGTGGTCTTACTAAGGCTTTATAAAGTGTATTAAAACAAATCTGAACATGATATTATCAATAAACCATCAGGAAATGACATTGTCTCCTGCTCTCTTGGTTACTTTCTCGAAATTAGCTAGACATGGAAAGACAATAGGCAGATGGAGCTCTGACTTAATTCTGCAATGTTCTTCCATAGAAACATAATGCTGAGTTCCAATGAAAATGGGAAATAAACATAAGTATTAAATACAGAAATAAGGTTTACCTGAAAAAAAAAGTCTTCAAATACAGGAAAGACTTTTCCAGTGCATCCATGACACTAAAAAATCGAGCTGAGCTGTCTTAAATACTTAAGAGTGAAAACAAAAGCACATATTTTGCAGAAATGTGAGTAGGAGGAGTTAGACAGTCTGGTATAAATCATTATTTCTTAGAAAGGTTGACGAGGACATTCAGTTTGTTCTTTGTTGTATCTTCATAAACAAAACTTGTTCTTAATAATCTCTTGTTATATATGAAATGATATGTTAGCTGTCCACCTTGGTAATTATTCCAAACCACTGTCATTTGGAAAAACAGAGGGCATTATTGGGGGAGGGTAGAACTAAATTTTTAAAGGGTTCCGTTCCAAAATGTGAAGCAGCCAAATTGCCCCTATCATTAAACATATTTTAAATATGTTTGAAAACAATTGGCATCTATCAATAAAGGAGCTGACAAAGAGTAGAAGAGAACTGAGCACAGAATATTTAGTAACTTCACCTCTTCACTATGTTTAATAAAATCCACCTATTTTGTCTTCAATGATCAATATTATAAAAAATATACCACATTGTATATGTTTCAAAGCTAGTCAGAAATCAGGATTCAAAATAGGAAAGTCCTGAAGGTCTTCTAGTCATCCAAGATATCTAGAAGACTTCCAAGATCCCTCCAACTTCATTATTCTTTGTTGTATAGTATGTTCTAAGTCCAGGGAAATAAAAAAGAGGGATAAAAAAACAGAAACTCAATGGGGTGAGCTTCCTGCTGAAAAATTACAGATCTCAAAAAAGGAGAATATTTTTAACTTAGGGTACAAATGAGAGGTCCTTGCAGTGGTGGGATTCAAATAGTTTAAGAACCGGTTCTCTGTCCTTCCAACAACCAGTTCACCAAACTGCTCAGAAAGTTAACAACCGATTTTCCCAAAGTGGTGCAAACTGGCTGAATCCCACCATTGGGTCCTTGGTACTCTTTGAGCTTGCAGATGTTTTATTACTCAAACTTGGTAACATCATCAGTGCCAGTTCTGATGGAAAAGACCACTCAATTAAAGATATGTTTGAGATAATATCAATATCCCTCACTTCTACCTTTCAAATTGAGTGTGCAGATAAGACAGCATCAATATACCACAATACCCCAAACTGATAAATTTGATTCAGAAGAATACTACATTGGTCACAAAGTGATGGAGGTGGATGAATGTGGTCATGTTAAATTCCTCCTCTCTTTAAAGAGAAAAAAATCCATTAGGGTAAACATATGTTTCATGTCAAACTAAATTGCATGAATCCACATCATCTCTTAATAAGCCTGTTTCTAAAGAAGTTTTTATAAAGCAATTATACTATTGTCTCCCATGCTAGAATTATTTTATTTAATGTAGACATATTGATTACTTTTTCATCTACCCAGTCTATCTCAGTGTAATTAACCATACTAAGAAAGATCACATAGTCTACATTTCATTTACCTCCTTGCCCACATCACCTGATAATAAACTATTCAGACCATTATCCATTCCACAAGGCTACAGTCAGAGAAAACAAAGAGGAAGGATACGTGAGTTCAGATAACAAGGAGCTTTAGAAAACTAGGGTGAAATTATTTTCTCTGTATTCATTAATCCTTGGAATCAAAGTCAATAACAGTAATCATTTTTTCCCCAATCATGACATTCAAATGATAGGTCTGTGATTATCACAACGTTCAAAACAGTACTTGTCAGCATTAAATCAAACTTATTTCTTTACATAACATATCCTTGAATGAACTGGAAATTGGGCAGCCATGTATTCTAATTTGAAACAGAGAGCTACTCTGTATGAATAGCTATCTGAAGACTGTCTCCATTTGAGGTCTTATCCTTCTTTGATAGAGTGCACAGACTAACATTTGTTTAAGAATAATGAACCATACAAAGATAGAATAAAGGTTCTGAAATTGCCTATCACAGTGAGCACCTGGATGCCTCATTTAGCACACACACATACACAGAAAGGTAATATCGTCACAAAGTTCTCCACTCAGGTGTGAAGTATTACATTTTATTTAAATTATAATTTCCAAATGTTCCAAGCTTGAAACTTGTTCTTGGAAGCTGTTAAGTCTGGATGGGGTGAAAAACAAATTGCTTTTCATCAATCAGCATTCGGAAACTTTGACCATAATCATTATACAGAGGGAGTTGTGCTCCTGATGAACATGGAACTTGTGAACTAGAGGTTCTCCTGGATTTGCATCTGCTGTTCAAATGGCAGGTAGAAGTTATAGCCATGGTGGTCCTTGATTAGTTTTAGCTGGTGTGCCAGTTATCATCCTACAGAAATAGTAAGCCTTGATGATGGTGGCAACTTATGCTTTGATCACCATTTAGTTAGATTACTGTAATATATTCCACATGGGACAGCCTTTGGCAAGGCCCAGAAGATGGAGATGATCGAGAATGCTTACAGGTTAGAATATGTGCCATCAAGTTGGTTTCAATTCTTAACCCACCACATAGACAATTTTTCACAATCTTGCTCTGGGAAGTCTCCCCATGGGACACCCATCATTGCTGTAGTCATGCCCATTGTCTGGTTGTCTTTTCCTCTTTTTTTCCATTTACTTTCTCAGCATTGTAGATTTCTCAAGGTGGTTGTATCTTCACATAATGTATTCAAAATAAGACTATTTGATCATTTGTATCTCAAGTGAGAAGTCTGGATTGCTATGTTCTGTGATCTAATTGTTTGTTTTCTTGATTGATCTGGTATTCTCAGGAATCATCATTAATGCCAAACTTCAAAAGCATCAATACTCTTTCTGTCCTTCAAAGACCAACTTTCATCCATAAGATGTCACAAGGAGAACAAATTAGATTCTGAATGCCACATGTCATAGCATCTTGGAAATCTTTTCCAGGCCTTTGTTGGTGTCATATCAAGTACTTGTCTGTGAAATATTTCTTGACTACTCATTCTTTTCATTTCAATGTCCTTACTATAAATTGAAAGCTGTGGCTATATCGTTGGTTATTACTTTGATTTTCTTTCAATTTTAACCTTAGTCTGATTTTTTTTTCATTGTGTTCCTCCTATTTTGCATCATCAGTTTTGTGCTGA